AGTCTTATACTCTTCAAGAACTCATACAGTTAAATTTTTCATGTTGGAATAATGTCGAAAAAATATGTATTACTTGTAATACTGTATCAGTACTGGGAAAAAAGATGTAATAATAACAGAGAGAGATCATATTTTCATTTTACAGTTATTATTATATAAAACTATTGATACTAAAACTGCAAAAATCAATTGCAATGTTAAAAGTGTACCTACTACAAAGATACATCTTGAGGGCAATACATATAAAGTTATTAGTGCAAGTTTTCATCATGGAGAAAATTTGAATACTGGATGTTATACGAATATAGTGCGTACTAAAAATACAAACTGGATAACAATACGTGATTCAAAAATACAAAAGTGCGATTGGCCTAGAAATGCTAAAACTGCATATATATTTTTTGCAGAAAAAATCAAATAAAATGTATATATACATTTATTTTTACTAGTGCATTTTCAAAAAGTAGAGAAATCACTCTAAAAAGTATCTTTACAAAAGGAAAAAACATACGCCAAGTACATAAAAAAAAAACCAAATATATAAAAATATACCATATTACAAAACTCTTTTTTCTATATAAAAAACAAAAAATAGACAATCAACGTAATTAGCCAAGTACTAGACCCAAGATAATAGATCCCATAAAATGGGCATAAAACAAAAGTAAAGTACAAAAACTTGGCGTGCCCGGATCGTATATATATGACTCATATATATACAAATACAAGAAAACCACTTTAACGATAAATTCATATAAGTAAAACAATTAATAATAAATTACTACTAACATATTAGCATTTCTGATATTTTAGAATTTCAAAAGTAACTTTATATCACATTAAAAATAACTATTGTTATCTTGTTTTAATTATAACGGAAGTAAGAAAGCCAGAGTAAAAAGCAGAGGTAAAAATATAAATATAAAGAAAGAAAATATAAAAAATTATAATAAAAAAATAATTATAATAATAAAATATAAGAAAAAAATAATATAAGAATAAACCAAGATATAAATATAATAATAAGATTTATATGTAATATAATAAGATAAATGTATAACAATAAGATATATGTAATATAATAACACATATGTAATATAATAAAACATATGTAAAATAATTAGATATATCTAAGAATTGTGCGTCTTAAGTTCATGTACAATATATAGCTTGAATCAGTCATATAGAAAAAAGAGTTTTGTACTATGGTTTGTATATTTGGGTTTTTTTTTTTTATGTACTTGGCGTATGATTTTTCTTTTGTAAAGATTCCCTGATAGCCATCTGTCTGTGTTTTTGCTGTCATGTTGCCGAAAACAAAACGCTTGAGTTTTCAGCAAATTTAGAACAAGGTGAGTCAAGACATTTGTCTTTGGTTTGACGTGACACGTATTCAACATGTGTTGCCGACAACTTGCTGTGTATTTGCTGTCAACGGTTTATCACTAACATAAAGAGCAACATGACAACAAGTTGCCAACAACACGTGTCATAAATTTCAGCAAAAATACAATATGTCGAAAACGGACAAATATATATTCACTAACACATCGCTTTGTGAAAGGGGAATTAATTAATTCGAGATTTCACACTCAAATTAATCTTTGGAGATCTGATTTAGTTCATTGAACAACTGATTAACTCCCCCCCAAATGGGTTCCCACCTTGTAGTAGCTCCGACGCAGGAGCTCGGGGCTCGCGGAGCGCTCGGTGCGCACGTGGTCTGGCCGCCTCGCAGTAACTACACGGAACGTTATTTTGTTCCCAGCATGTGCTGGTGGCGGTGTGGCCGGGCATTGATCGTCAGCTCCTTTCTGGACGCTGGCGGATCTGCTTGGTCGTGTCGTCACAATGGAAGTGTAATCTGATGGGACAACAATTGACCACAGAAAGTGAGCATCTGGTGTCCTCGGGGGCTATAGGCTCTCGCGCCGGAACGGGTGGTGGGACTTAAGGTCGCGGGCAGTGGTCATCCGCTCAAGGATGGGCCCGTCTGTGACCAACTAAGAGGAACCTCCCAAATTAAGGTGTGAGCGACCGTGCCGAAAGCTGCGTGGCGCAAGGGGAGTTGCGTCGTAAACGGTGCCTCATGGATACCGGGCGAAATCCAGGAGTACGGAACCAAGCCCCAGCCATTCGCGGCTCTGGCTGAATGAGACCGCGCGACCGCGATACTCGTGGGAATACAAATGGAGATTGAAAACGGAAATAAAATCACCCCCAAATCAGTCCCCAAGAGCGAAGCCTTCTCTGGAGGTTAACGCCCAAGAGAATCTTGCAGTGCGGGAGCGGGCTCAGAAGCCCTAAATACCATATTAGATATAGCGAGGCCGCTAGGCGCCGTTATAATAAACAAATGCTAGCCGAGGAGAGTGGGGCCTATAAGGTCCCCTCTACCCCCGCAGCCTCCTTCTCAAAAGGTGGAGTTGGGGGTGGGCGGGCTTCGGGTGGCGCAGCAAAGCGCGCCAGGTCGGAGCACGCTACTCCCAGTCCCTCAGAAAATCGCCAGGGAAAGAGACCTAAAAATAAAGGGTCGTATGCACAGGCGACAAAAGGTCTTGTCAGGATGGCTCTCGTACTAGAGAGCTACCCTGACAAGAAAATGGGAGCCGGTGAGGTGGTTAAGATCAGAAAACTGATCAGGTCTGTCATCCTCGGCATGTCTGAGAATGACAAAGCCCCCACTTTCACTGGTTCCTGGAAGAGGGATGGCGCACTCATGATTGTGTGCGCCAACAAAGAGTCGGCGGAGTGACTTAAAGCCCATTCCTCCGATTAAAAAGTCAGGGGAACTCCTCTGTGTGTGCTGCCGGTTGGTGAGCTACCTAAGCGTCATCGAGTGGTAGTGCATGTGGAGAAGCCTGAAGTAGGGGTTGAGGAGGCTTTAAAGCTCCTTAACCAGCAAAACACAGGGCTGACAACCAGCGATTGGGTCGTCACCAGGGGGACGTGTAGGAGGGACGCTACGAGCGCCCACTTCTCCTGTCTGGTTGGCGACTCGGCGATGAAAGCCTTGAAGCACTGTGGCTTCAGGCCTTTCTTCGGTCTCGGCCGAGCCACCGTTAAGATGGCGGGACGAGAGCGTGGGGAGGCGATGGAAAAGGAGATGGAGTCGGAAAGTGTCGGGACGGCCTAAAAATGGCTTCTCTCGGCATCCAAATGACCCAGATTAACTTGCATCACAGCAAGAGCACCTCGGCTATCCTAGCCAGGAGCATGGCTGTGATGCATACAAGTATTGCACTAATTCAAGAACCATGGATTGTGAATGGTGCAGTAAAGGGACTGAGTGGGTGCGGCTGCTTATACAAAGCACACTCAAAAAATAGAGTAAGATCATGCATTTTAGTAAAAGGACTAAATGCTATCTTTCTGCCACAGCTCAGCAGCAAGGACCTCACAGTCATCAAAATGAGAGTGAAGCTGGCAGAGGAAGAGGACATGGAAGTATTAATAAGGTCAGTTTATATGCCCTATGACTCTACGGATCCACCACCACATGAAGAGGTAAAAAACCTGGTGGCCTATGCGGAAGCCAGGGGGCTCGAACTCCTGCTGGGTTGCGATGCAAACTCCCACCATGTAGGATGGGGAAGCACAGACACCAACCTGCGGGGAGAGAGTTCCTATGGCTACCTAATGGGCACAGTATTAACCATTCTCAACAGAGGAAACGAGCCGACATTCCTGGACTCCAGAAGACAGGAAGTCATTGATATTACGGTATGTGCAGAAAGGGTGGCGAGTTTGGTGAGGAACTAGAGGATATCGAATGAGCCCTCTGGGTCGGACTACAGACATATACGCCTAACTCTCCAACAAATACCGCAAATCAGCTGGGTTCGCAACCCACGAAAAACCAACTGGGAGGGCTTTAGGGCTGATCTTAAGGCCCAGCTTGCTATGGCTCCAACCAGTTTCAGACCCAAAAACAACTTAGAAAACGCGGCGGACTTTTTAAAGAACGCCATTACAAACGCCTTTGAATTAAACTGCTCACCAAAACTCAGGAATCTGGTGAACAAGATCTATTGGTGGAATAAAGAGCTCGGTAAGTTCAGGTTGGAAACGAGAAAGAAATTCAGCAAAGCGAAAAGAACAGGACTTGCAGTACACTGGGAGGCCTTTAGAAGCTCCCAACGGGAGTACAGCAAAGAGATTAAGAAATAAAAATGCAAAAGCTGGAGACGTTTCTGTGAAAGCATTGAGAGCACCCCGGAGGCATCCAGGCTTCACAGAATCCTCAGTTTAGATCACCGTCCCCAATTAGGCTGTCTCAAGCTCCCAACGAGGAATGTCACTGAGGAAACAATGGACACATTGAAACATTTAATAGAAGTCCACTTCCCAGGTTTTGATCATAACATACAACCCTGCCGACCGAAGCCTAGGGAATATAAACCCAGGGACTGGCGTCTGACAGCTGAGGTTGTTTCTCCAAAGGGAGTTGAATGGGCTGTTAAGACCTTCTCTCCCTATAAATCATCTGGACCGGATGGAATCTATCCGGTTCTTCTTCAAGAAAAGCTAAGAGTTCTCACAGGTCCACTCACAAAAATCTTCAGGGCTAGCATAGCCCTAAAACACGTTCCTCAGGCTTGGGGTGGTACAAGAGTAATCTTTATACCCAAGCCTGGTAGAAATGGCCATATAACAGCCAAAGACTTCAGACCGATCAGTCTCACTTCCTTTGTACTGAAGACACTGGAGAAACTGGTCGATAGATATCTGAAAATCGGCCCTTTGCTAATACATCCGCTGTCTCCGGCTCAGTATGTCTACAGGAAGGGCAGATCAACAGATACTGCTTTGCACCATCTCGTGGGCGAAGTCAAAGTGCAGTTGGAAGCAAAGGGATATGCCCTGGGCGCCTTTCTGGACATTGAGGGAGCTCACCTGGACATCTGAGAGACCTCTGGACATTGATAGCATCTCATATGATGTCATCAGAGAAGCAATGACCGGGCATCACATTCTCGCTGCTCTAGCAGACACAAAGCATGCTAACAGGAAAAACCCTGATTGCCAATCATGAGGACTCAAGTGTGCATGATTTCCCCGCTAAAGGATGCCCGCAAGGAGAAGTTTTATCTCCCCTGCTCTGGTGTCTGGTCGCGAATGAACTTCTACGAAAATTACAGAAGAAAGGCTTCTTTGTCTTTGGCTACGCTGATGACGTGGCCATTATAGTGCGAGATATTTTTTTTTCAACTCTTAAGGAAACTATGCAGAAAGCCCTTAAGATCACGCAAGACTGGTGTCAATCAAAAGGACTTAGGGCTAATCCATCAAAGACCAAAGCCATGATTTTCACCAGGAAATACAAACCTGAAGCCATTGAGCCGCTTAGACTCTGGCGAGAAGATATAGAATACGTCCAGTCAGTAAAATATTTGGGAGTCCACTTAGACACCAACCTGAATTGGAAAACACATCTTGATATAAAGAGATCCAAATTCTACGCCCCATACTAGGCGTGTAGAAGAGCAATGGGAAAATCCTGGGTTATTAAACTAAATACTGCCCTATGGATATACAAAGCGGTACTTGTACCGAGGTTAACATATGCTGCTGTTGTGTGGTGGCCCAGAATGGAAAAGATGGAGTCAAAGAACCTACTAAAAAGCCTACAAGGTAATTATTTGAGGGCTGCGGTAGGGACTATGAAAACGACACCAACAGAAGCGCTGGAAGTGGCACTCTGCATTCCACCTCTAAGATTGACTGTCATCAGCGCTGCCAAACTCACAGCATATAGACTAAGGTGTCAGAGGGAGTGGAGAGATTTCGGAGTAGGTCATACCAGGCTCGAGTTTCTTCACAAACTTCCCTTTACCTTAAAGCAAGACAGAATATCCAGAATACGCCAAGTGAACAAAGCGTTCTCTATAAACTTGACCACCAGGGCGGACTGGAAAAACAAAAATCTTCAGATCCAGCCGGGCACTCATGCATGGTTTACTGATGGATCTGGAGCAAACGGCTGCTATGGAGCAGACATCTACTGTCCAGGATCAAATCACAAAAAGTTTTTCTCTCTGGGTAAATTGGCCACGGTCTTTCAAGCGGAAGTCCTGGCCATTCTGAAATGTGCAAGACTCCTACTCTCAAGAGAGACAAAAACTAGGAGGATCAATATCTATACGGATAGCAAAGCAGCCATAAAAGCTCTTGCCAAGACCACCACTGAATCTTCAGTAGTTTGGGACTGTATGCAAGCTCTAAACAGATTGGGCGAGCGAAACAACATCACGCTTGTCTGGGTACCTGGCCACCAAGGTATCCAAGGCAATGAAGTGGCTGATAGTCTGGCAAAACTGGGTACCTTAGAGAAACCAGTCTGCCAGATAGTTGGAGTTCCCTTTGCAACAGGGAAAAACCATATCAAGGACTGGCTGAAACGGGAGCACAGGATCTCTTGGGAGATACTGAAGAGCTGCCGCCAAGCTAAGGCTTTGATGACTGAGCCATTGCCAGGTAAGACAAAGGAACTACTGACAATGAATAAGTACAGACAAAGACTGTGTATCGGTCTTCTCACAGGGCATTAGGCCTTCAAAGCACATCTATTCAACTTAGGCCTAGTTGAGGAGAGTAGTTGTAGATTTTGCGGCGAAGAAAGGGAGGACAGCGTGCACATATTGTGTCGCTGCCCGTCTCTAGCACTCAAAAGATTCAGATTTTTGGGCTCCATGTTTGTGGAGCCCGAGGACCTGAAAATAATTAAAATCGGCCATCTGTGTAGCCTGGCAGCAAATGCCGGGTTTTAGCAGCTTGGTCGATAAACAACTAGCGGGAGTCGCAGAGGATCTTATAGATCTAGGTGACAATAGGGTCTCACAAGCCCCCCGCTCCTCGTTATCTATCTATCTATCTAACTGATTAACTCGATGAAAGGTACTGGACACAGAAAAAATCGTAAGGTGATGTGTGGGATTTGAACTTGAGACCTTCATATTTGCAATCCCTACACTCAGTTCGCGAGACCACTTGTTCCTTACTAAAATATAATTATTTTTGTTTATTTATTCTAAAAGATGGTCATTCGTTTTCGACATTTAATGGGTTACAAGATAGAATAAATATATGTCAACAGTTTTTACTAACTATACGACAGAAGTACAAACATTGGTGTCTTGTATTGTTACCGTCATGTTGCTCTTATGTTGTCGAAAACGAATGACAAAGCAGAGTTTTCTATGAATAAAAGTCATTTTGGTGACAACGTAATGAGCAATAGTTGCTTTTCGTTTGCTCTGAATCTGCTGACACAAAATGTCTCAAATTTGCCTTCGTGTTGTCGATTACGTATGACTATGCATCATGTTTTTAGCAAATACACAGCAACTAGTTGAAAACTTCAGCTCAGCATTAAGTTACATGATTTTGCAAAACATGCTTGGCTATCAGGGTTGATACTGAAGTGACAAAAACATTTTCGTTGCATTAAATAAAAACAACACAACAGCAATTGGTGAGCAACTTAATCTATACAATGATTTGCTGTATATTGTGTTTTCACATTTGGCTATTTGGGTATATACAGGTGTCCCAGAATTGGTGTAACATCTCTCGTAGACAGGTAGAAGGAGTAAAACTGAGTCAATAAGTCCTATATTATTTTGCTAGATTCGCAATAGTTACCGAAATTTTAATTAACAAATATCTGCGAATAAGCGTGCATCGGGCTGTCTTACGCGCGTGTAGGACAGTTCGGCGTGCTTCGCATGATTATATTTTAATATGTATATGTTATAGAGAGTATATGTTGTTATATTAGCCCCCCCCTCCATCCATATATTGCTACAGGTAACACCGTAAGCGCGCTGGGCTGTCTTCCGCGCGTAAGACAACCTGATGCATGCTTATTCGCTGATCTGTGTTAATTAAAATCTCAGTAACTATTGCGAATCTAGCAAAATGGTATAAAACTTTTTGATTCAGTTTTACTCCTTCTTTTTGTTCACGAAATATGTTACACCAATTTTGGGACACCCTGTATATATACAAGGTGTCCCGTAATTGCCGTTTCACCGCTTGTAGACAGGTAGAAGAGGTTATTCTAAGACGAAAAGTCCTATACCACTTTGGAAGATTCGCAATAATTAACAAAATATTAATTAATAAAGATCCGCTAATCAGCAGGCATCCTGCGTAAGAACAACCCAGTCTATTGCGCCGTAGCGACGGAATGGGAGGAGTTAATGGAATAACATGTGCATACATAGACAGCATATAGGCTGCGTTCGGACAGCGCACTATCCGCGCTATTGTATTTTGTCGCTAGGGCGCGATAGACTGGGCTGTCCTTACACTGATGCACGCTGATTAGCGGATCTTTATTAATTCATATCTCATTAATTATTGTAAATCTTCCAAAGTAGTATAGGACTTTTTGTCTTAGAATAACTCCTTCTTCTTGCTTGCAAGCGGTGAGACGACAATTATGGGACACCCTGTATATATATATGAGCAAATCCACCGTAGTTTTAACTTTTATGAAAATTTATTTATTTATTTTTTTTTTTTCAAATGTGCGGCACTACATCTTATATTGACTAACATGTCAAATATAGATTCAAAACCACCTATTTACAGGCGTTAATGGTTTTAAGTAAACAACGCAAAGTTTACCTGAATAAAGTGGACTTATATTTCTTTCCAGTTTTACATTGCAATCATGTTTAAATTGCGTACTCTTAACGTCATAACTAATAAAATTGGGTTTAAAAATTGGCCACATGAATTCCGTGGTAAGTTATGATATAAGAAAGAGTTCACAGTTAATATAGACTAAAAAAAACTTTTCTCGGAATATCGAAATACATGGATGTCCTTTGGATGTCCAATATATGTTGAGAGCATATATCGGACGTCCAAAGAACATGCATGTGTCGTGGGATGGCATCACCTTCAGGAAAAAGATGTATGAATGCACAGTAACTTTTTCATTTATTACTAAAGTGTTATATAACACGGCGCAAGTACAAAGTTATTAAAAGTGAAACACAAATTCGAAAGGAACAGAATAAATTTTATGATTTCCTATATTTTTATCGATTTAGTGTACTTTTAAAAGCCAGCAATAACACGAACGTTCTGCATTTTTATACATAGTTATTACTAAAAAGTATACGAAAAAAATACGTCTTGTGCATATAAAACACAACTTAGATTTATCAGTATTAAAAAGTCCATCAAAAATAAAAACTACGATAAATTTGCCCATATATATTTATATTCTATATGCCTTCAATAATGAACAGTTATTCTCGTGTGACAACATTGTGTATGCGCATAAATTGTTATTTTATATGTATATTTATGTATAAATGTGTACGAGTTTTATCTCTTAATACACAATATAGTTTCAACGTACAGTCACTTATTCAACATAATTGTTTCAACATATTAGTCTTCTCACAAACAAATTTCAAAATTGTTTGCAATTATTTTTATTCTGTAAAATGTATAGACACCGATATTTTTTTACATTATATATCTTTAACACGCAAAATTACCGTATTGAATATTTCAATATTAATATTCGAGTTGCAATAAATCGATGATATTATCAAATGAATAAATTTGAAGTTTTGGCTTACAAAAGCCTATTATTGATTTTGAAACAGACTCATTGCCATCAGCAATGAATTTTTTTCTTAGAAAAGATTTCCTTAATCTTTATATTTTTCTTCTTCCTGCAACTCGTTAATATAGAGTTGATAAAGACAACATTAAGACAATGTTTCCTTCGTTTTCGAAGTACACGGCGTCAACAATTTACGAACGCTATAAAGTAATTGAGCTAAAATTGTTATTGCAAGATTTACAATCATCGATACGAAGGCACAGTCCAAATGCACTTGCATCATACAGTGCATGTTCTATACAATCGTATATAAAACTTAATGTAGATGCATATATATACATGTATATTTAAAATTACAAGTATCAAAACTTCCTCGCGTGGTAAGTTTGTCGATAAAAGATCGTTTTTCGAGTCTTCTTCTGTCTTTCTTGATATAAATGACTAAACTTTCATGTTGCGTAATTTAATTTCTTAAAAAAAAGATGTGTAGAAAAGTTTTTCGTCGTAAAGTTTCTAAGATCATTCTCAAGATAAAGCAGTCTTTTTAGTGTAGTTTCAAACAGCGATAACAAATGGCAAAATTGCACAGATTTACGCAGATTTTTAATTACGATAGAGCGACTTGATTTACAATGTTTTCATAGTTTTGTCAATGTGTCTTAACGTCGTTTCTGGCACCGCGTCTGTCAATGCTTTTCGAAATCCATCGCAGAGAGTCAACCGTCGAAACATTCTCTTCGCGTGATTTCTAAAAAATTGTAAATTTATTGTTAAGTTTGAAATTACAATACGTTTTATTATGATTTCAAGACAAAAAAGAAATCAAGTGTCTCTTTACCTCGCGTCTAGATTCCCATCCATCAGCAACTTCGCGCCCGTGTTTAGTAACTTATCTCTTACGTCACGCGGTAAAATCATAATATGATCGGGTCCGATGCGATCGGTGATGTCCGATAACAGCCGAGCGGTCGCCGCGCGAACGACAGAGTTTTGATGACTGTAATGAAATAATCTCAGTAGAAAAATATATTTTTGTACATTTATCAGAAGTTCAGACCTTTACCTTGCTCCTCGAAGCACGATAATACCGATGGTTTTATAAGGCGGCAGATGTTGTATCATTTGATCTAATGCTGCGTTGCTGTCTGCTCGTAAGAACCGATTCGTGTCGGCCGTTCTGTGAAGCAGAGGTCCAGCTATGTCGTCCAAGTCCTGTAAAAGAGAAAGTAAACCAAAATGTTTGATATAGAAAAACTAAGGATTTAGAGTATTTTGGTACTGTTGTTGGAGATATTTTTGCTCATCTGTCACTTTTGTCTCTAAAGTAATTTTCTGTTTGTTTATGAATAATTTTCAAATTTTACTATACATTGTGATAACATTCGAAGATGTTGTTCGAGTTTGAACCGCGTTAGTGTAATTTTTATACCGACGTTTCGTGAACATTTGTAACGATACGCATATTTTGTATCGTTACTGCCGGGACCGACCAACCGCCCCGGCACAAAAACGGCGTTTTCACGCCCGAATAAAATATAAAAACTTGCCTCGAAACGGCATACCTTTCCCCGCACGCTTCCACGCCGCGAGACAGTGAGACAACCCCGCACCGCGCGCCGTACCGTACCATGGAACTCGCCGTCCCACTATCCGCGCGGCACCCTCCCCGCTCCTCGGAGCGAGGATTACCGGCCGATTGCGTTATCAAGCCGGGGGTAGATCGCTGGTATAAAACGGGGTCTCAGGACCGCCAGAGAGCAGAGAGAGAGCCTGCGAACCTTTCGAGCTCAGACCCGAGAAGCCAAGGGGCATAAGCCGCCTCGGTCGAGTGTCTCGACGACTTCCCGGCCTCACCGATCCCACTCTTCTTCGGGGAGAATTACTCTCCTTGCCGGGTGTTTCGGCAAGCGGAGCATCCTCACCGATCGCGCTCTTCTTCGGGGAGAATTACTCTCCCTGCCGGGTGTTTCGGCAAGCAGAGCGTCCTCACCGATCCCGCTTTTCTTCGGGAAGACTCACTCTCCCTGCCGGGTGTCGTAACGCTCGGCAAGCAGAGCGTTAGCATCCACTCCGTTTTCTCATTCAAGAGAAAGAACGGCTCTCTCTCGGCCGGAGACAGCGATAGCTCGAAAACGAATTCCCGAAACGCGAGCCAGCGGCTAAAAAAAGTATAAAAAACCCGCGCACGTGAATTCCTATCGACCCGCCCGCTGAGCAGCGCAAACAACACGCGCCGAAACTCACGCGACTCATTCACGCGACCACTTCCTTTGTCGATCTTTGCTTTTACGAAACATATTTGTACCAAAGCATTAATATCTAGTTCTTTCATCTAATCTATCTACACCTATTATTGGTCATTTTTATCATATATAGCTTACTACGTATCTCTTCTATTATATTGTACTAAAAGTCTTTGAATACAAATAAATCTATAATTTGATTGAAATTAAAATCACATCGCACTCTGAATTCTTTATTCTACCTGTCATCCGGTGTAGCTATCCTTCCAGGAAAAAAAAAGACGGATTGTTACACATTTCAGCTTACTTTACCAGGGTTTCAAGAGCAGCCTGATACTGAGATGCTCTTGTCCTTTTTTTTAGCGCCAGGTATAGAGAAGGGGGGCGTAATAGTAAGGGTAAGGTAATGTGACAAAAAGGGAGTAGGGGCGTTATGGCACGATAAATTGCCATAGTGGACTGGTCATTTGTTTATTATCTCTGTTGAGATTGTTTGGATGTTCGTATATATCTCCAAGGACTCCATATATTTTCTAAGAAAGTAAGCTGCAGTTTTGTTTAATACTTGAATTTGGTCAAACATGATTTTGTGACCAGTTTCCAAGTGGTGTTCTACTAATGCCGATTGTGAATGTTATTTTAGACGCACTGCTAACTGATGTTTTTTTAGCCGTGTGCTTATCATCCTACCAGTTTCATATATATGTATACTTTACCGCATGAACAGGGTATTTTGTACACTTTGATGTGTCAAATAGGGGTCTTTTATCCTTTGGATTGTTGAGAATGTATCCTATTTTTCTCGGAGGTTTGTAGATTGTTTATATGTTGTATTTGTTCAGAATTCTGCCTATCTTATCTGTGACCTCTTGTATGTATGGAAAGCAAGTCGTTTCTTTAAGTCTTTTGTTTGTTCTTGTGATAGCATGTTTTGACCGTTGGTAAATGGTTTAGTTTGATGTTTTTTAATTGCTTTGTTTATTTGTTGTAATATAGCCAATCTGTTACAGAGTGGTTTTTAATTCTTTGAGTTTGTTTTGAATGCTATCTTTGTCGCATATACTCTGATAGGAAACCATTTACAAAATTATGTGACGAAATCTTGCATTAAAATTGTAATTTGCAGACATATTTATACAGACATATTAACATACAAAGATGTTTTTTCGGGTTTGAACCGCGTTAATGTCATTTTTATACCGACGTTTCGTGAACATTACAGCTCACTTCATCAGGGCTTGAAGAGCAGCCTGATACTGAGTAGTAGTATACTGATGAAGTGAGCTGTAATGTTCACGAAACGTCGGTATAAAAATGACACTAACGCGGTTCAAACATCTTTGTATGTTAATACTACACACCGCGAAAGCATCAAATATACAGGCATATTTTAGGAAATAGATGTAAAAACATTGATCTTTTCTGAAATATTTGTAGTTGTTTGCAAAATTACTTTCCAAATACTATTTCGGCAAAAGAATAACAATATGGCGAATCATCTTAGCAGTATATTTGCAAAATTAATTTCACAAAGATTCACAAAGAAATTGTTCAATAATTGAGAAAAGAAATTCAGCTATGTAATGTTTCAAATATGTAGAAATATGATTGCATATGAAGAAATGCAAAAAATCGTCGTCACTCATGATGTCATATTTGTGCAATATTTTCACAATTTGCCTATTGGAGGTATATACTGTGGAAATGCATAACGACTTTTTCGCAATTTTTGACAAATATTATTTACAAAATTTTATTTCGACAAAACTATTGCGTTATGGCGAATCATCTTGTGCAATCATTGCAAAATCGTCGCCATTCATGAGGCCAGTTTTGCAATATTTTCACAAATGTGCCTATTAGGGTATATATCTATGTCATTTATATGGAAAAAATTACTTAAAACAATAATTATTTCCAAAACTTCCCAAAAATTGTTTTAAGTAATTATTTCCATATACATGACATAAATGACATCTGTATCATTTACATATATATATATATATATATAAGTCATTTATATGGAAAAAATTACTTAAAACAATTTTTGGGAAGTTTTGGAAATAATTATTTTTTAATTTTTTTCTCAATTTCTTACTTAAAAACCATTTGAGATATCAAAAACTTGTTTATACAAAAGTTTTATAAAAAAATTATTTCTATTTATCCACGTCAATAATATTTCTCAACAATCATTATTATTTATAAATTATTATTATTATTATTTATATATTATTATTTATAATTATTATAATTATTATAATTATTATAATTATTTATATATTATTATTTATATATTATTATTTATAAATTTGTTTGAAATTTGTGTAAATAATTTTTTTTGTAATATTATTAACATAGATAAATAGAAGTAATTTAACTATAAAACTTTTGTATGAAACATTTTTTGATATCTTCAATCTTTTGTAAGATATCATGAAAAAAGCTAAACATCGCTTGATATGTTAGGGATAATTTCACCCCCTAAAACCGTTTTTTAGCATCACCTGATATTTTTAAAATTCATCTATTTATCTAAATGTACACAAAGTTTCATTAAGATCAGATTATGACACTTCGCGAGGAAAAGTACGAATGCGTGAGATAAAGGAGATTAAACATCTGGGAAGTGGTCTTGTTGTTTCGTACCACGGTTTATCAAGAACCTGATCTTTCCAAGAGAAGTACCTACTCTTTGGTTCGGGCCTCCCCCAGCAGGAACTCCTTCGATTCCTCCAGCACCTCCTTTCTGAGACCGGGAACAGAGAGCTGAAAGGACACTTAAAAGACCCATCGAGTTCAGGCAGGTCCAGAGCCTTCTTGGCGTAAAAGTCTGCACTCTCGTTGCCGGATACCCTTATGGGCAGGGACAAGAAGCATATCTCAATTCTTTGCGAAGCAAGTTCAGAAGTGAGCGATTTTATTTTATCAAGAGGCACGGTAGTGCCTCGCGCCAAGTATATGCGCAAACGAAGTGCGCGCGCGCTGCGCGAGGTCCCCGTGCCTCTTATACGCGAAAATGGCCAAATGGCAATATCGAGATTTTCCGATCTCAACAACGGCTAAACCGATCGAGTTCGGCCTAGACTCAATCGAAAGTTGAGAT